AGTTGGGGGATATGGCAAAGCTCCACTGGTATTCGGGGGTTTTCCTTATGTGAGGCATTAGGAAGGGGACTGTTATTCCAACCCATGAGTTTCTAAAAGCCCTAGAGATGGTTTGGAGGGCTTCTAGCTGACCTCCTGCCACCCCAACTCCTGATTTCAGGACTTCTTTTAGTGGTTAGATGGATTGGAGAAATCTGTGTTTGAATTCTGTCTCTGCTTCTTACTAGCTTAGTGACTTAAATAGACAAAAATTTAAAACTATGTGTCCTTTCCATTTCTCATCTTTAATCATCTTAAAGGTGGGAAGAAGTCATTCAGCAAACATTTACTGAGCACCTACTATAACCTGACAGTGTTCAAACTCAAGGGCTAGAGCAGCGAACAGTAGACAAGATCCCCAACCTCTGGGAGCAATCAATAGATGTCAGGTAGTAATAAATTCCATGAAGACAGATAAAGCAAGGGTATGGGGTAGTGAGTCATAAGGCATGCTACGCTTGTATGCATGGGGGATTAGGGAAGGTCTCTCTGAAGAGGGCATATTTGCCAGAGACTCACTAAAGTGATGGCGTGAGCCATGACATATGCGTTGGGGAAGATGATTTGAAAAAGATGGAAGGGAGAGAGGTAACGTCTGAGGTGGAAACAGTACTGAGGCCAGAGTGGTGGCTGTCAAGTGATGGAGAGGTAAAATCAGGGTAAATGATGTTGGGAAGTCATAGGGAGTGAAGTAATGTGACCTTTGTTATAAAATGAATCATCATGGCCCCTGCATTAAGAATCTACTGTGTGGGGTAGAGGGGGCCAGGACAGAATCAGGGATGTCCTGGAGGCTGTTGGAGTGGTCTAAGATAGATGAGGTGATGGCTTAGACCAGGATGTGAGCAAGGGAAGCGGTGAGAACTAGTTGGATTCAGGATATAGTTTCGAGGTAGAACTCAATTAAATTACTAAGATTATGTTTGTTAAGTGATATGGCAAGGTAGTCATGTAGCAGGTATTCCTAAAAGTTACTTCCCTTTACTTCTACTTCCTTATGGAAATGGATCAGGATAGCACGGACAAATGCACAACCACATCTGTAAGGCCAACTGTTTGTACATTCTTTAAATATGTATTACATATTCATCATGGACTATGTGTATGTACAAATATTTTGGCATTTATTGGGCAGCTTATATGGGCTGGTCATCTTGGCAGAGGTTATTATAGGATAATAACACAATAATAATAATAATGGCAAACATTTAGCATTTGCCATGTCCAGTTTGTGTTCTAAGTGCTTTGTATATATTAATTCATTTAATTCTCACATCACTTACCTAAAATGTGGCATACATGCCATTGAGCTCAATTGGAGATCAAAATGTGGAGCGCTTTAGTTTCATGTTAAGGAGTTTGCACATGGTAGAATTTTGTAGAGTTAGGCATGCCCATCTCTTTATATCTAATGGGGTGTTTGGGGCTAGAGCCTCTAAGGAAAGAACTGGATCTGTGAACACCCTTGGGTGGCACAAAGTCAGATAAATGGAAGACGGAGCTGATATTAACGTGCAGAGTGGATTGTAGAACCTGTGAGAGGAAGCCTCTTCCATGTCACAGAAAAAACCCTAATCATGTTATTAGTCATACTCAGCTTGTTGAGTGACAGCAGTTTTGCATAGAACATTTGGTGTATCTGTAGATTCAGCCGCCCAGGAAGTGCACGTGTATACTTCAAAGGAAGGAAAGGACTTTGCCTGTTAAAACACAAATGTGCACACATGCACACACACCAAAAATGAACAAAATGGGCCTCTTGATCACTTTTTTATTCCTACCAACCTCTCCCCTAATTCTCTTAAATATGTTCCAAGCACTTTGTAAAGTTCTAGGGTACTAGTTATAGATTTGCAGGGAAAGGAACAATTCTAATTTGTTGTATCTTAAGGGGTCGATAGGAAGCCTTCACAGAGGAAGTAATATCTGCCTACTCAGAATTTTAAATGGTGCATGGGAAAGCAGATACAGCACATGCAAAAGGTATGGGGCTGTTAAACAGCTTGTTGCCTCAGGGGAATGATAACTAACAAAAATGAACTAAAGTGAGTGAAAGATGACAGAAGAATGTTTGGCATGGTTTGAATATGGGCCTGGGGTTCGTACATACAAACACCTTCCTTGTAGGAAATATATATGAGGTATGATGTTGGACATGTAATTGTTGTTCACATCATTAGTACCTGCTATTATAATTGTTTGACAGAGACCAAACTGTGATATGGCACTGTGAGCTTAGATTTTATCCTGTGGACGATGTGGAGTGACATGCTGAATTTGGATTTTTGATAGTTCACTGGTACGTGGAGATTGGGTGAGACATTTGTCCAGAGGCTGTTGCAGTAATACGGACAAGAGATGTAATGAGGTTCTGAACCAAGGCAAAGGTGAGGGTGGAGGAGTGTTTTAGTCAGCTCAGCTGCTGTAACAGAAGACCGCAGACTGTGTTTCTAAACAGAAATTCATTTTTTCACAGCGCTCGAGTGTGGAAAGTCCATGATTCAGTTGCCAGCTGATTTGGTTCTTGGTGAGGGTCCTCTTTCTGGCCTGCAGATGGTTGGCTGCTGTCTCATTGTGTCCTCACTTGGGGGCTGAGGGGACAGCAAGCTCTCTGGTGTCTCTCATAAAGAACTAATCCTGTCTTATCAGGGTCCCATCTTTATGGCCTCATTTAACCTTAATTACCTTCTTGTGGGCCCTATCTCCAAATACAGTCATATTAGGGGCTAGTGCTTCAACATATGAATTTTTGCATCCATGGCAAGGGGTAAAATGAGTAGCTCAACTGCTTTTTTGAATTTGGTGGGTAAGACAAGGGTGGACTTGGGAATGCCCTCTGGGCTTTTGATTTGGGTGACTGGGTGGGTGATGGTGTAGCTACTTGCAATAGGGAAAGATCAGGAGGTTTTTTGGTTTGTGTTTGTATTTTATTAAAATTGCTTTTGTCCTATTAAAGTTTTTGTGGAGGCTGGGAAGCAAGACTATGACTTTTTTGTAATTTACCCTGCTCAAAAGGGAAGGTGCTTCTAATCCTCTTAAATTATTGACCAATTCATAACGTTTATAAATTCTAAAGTGGGTGAACTGTATGTTCACTTATGGCAAGAATTATTTCCATCTTGTGATGTGCCAGAAAAAAATAGACAATACATTTATTTACAAAATAATTGTGTAGAACAAGAGTGGTTTATCTGAGAATTTGTATGTGGTGTTGAGGTTTAACTTACTTTTTTTTTTGGACATACCTTATTGACAAAAACATTTCCTGCCTTTCATCTCTCATTTTTATTTCTCTGCTCCTGCAGTGCCCTGGAGAAGATATGTGCTTTCCATCTTGTCGTATACCTGTTTATTAATGTTTGTGGATATTTTTAAATAGTTGAGGAAATAGCTTATGGGAAATTGGCAAATAACATATGCATAGTCTGAGTTGTGCCTTTTGGAGAGCTATTTCAAGGTGTGATTTCCAGAAGCATTGCATCAGAGCTTGTTTGGAAAAACTTACCTTGTTCGGGTGTGTCTGAATATATTACTTCAGTATACGTATGTTATACATATTCTGTACTTTTTTCTTTTAATTGAAGCATCATATGCAGAAATCTGCACATGTGCATTTTCATAAGCCGAATGCAGATGTATCATCAGGACCTAGATAAATTGACTTTTTTTTAATAAAAGTATAATTATGTTGTTTGGGAGAAAAATGAACCTATATGAATCTGTTGTGTACATTGGAGGAAAATGTGAACTTTAAACTTTTTCCTTTTTCTTTCATATTAGCATATTTCCTGTTAGCTAATGTATTTAAGAATTAGCTAATTATTCAACTAGTCTTATATGTCATATAGTCTTATCTTGTCTTATGTGTTATATATTTATTATTTATTTATAATGCTGCTTGCTTTTTTGAAATGAAAATCATTGACCTGAGATATATGTTCTGCTTTTTAAGACTTTGAAAGAAAGTGTGGTAAAGGAGAAAGTTACTTATATTTAGCTGCTGCTAAGAAAAATTACCTAAAACTTAGGAGTAAAAAAATGTTCTTCCAGTGCCTTCTTGGGGGTACTGTTGTACAAGCCCACCCTAAGGATATTCAATTCTAATTCCTATGCTCCACTGGGCTATTTATTGTTTGATTAGAGACTGGGCAGTGGGAAGTTACCTGAGCTTATAGATATTTGTCTGGTAGAAAAGACAACCCCAAATGTTTTGGGTTTTTTTTGCCCTATAGGACATTAACCAGTTTTTTATCTGACCTAGCTGTCTTAGAATCTAATACTCAAAAAACAAACAAACAAACAAACAAAAAAGCCTTTTCTGATGACTGTATAGATTGTATAAACCTGTTCTACTAATGCTCTTGGAACCAGCCTTACCATCTTACTGATTCCCAATACAAACAAACAAACAAACAAAAAAGCCTTTTCTGATGACTGTATAGATTGTATAAACCTGTTATGCTAATGCTCTTGGAACCAGCCTTACCATCTTACTGATTCCCAAATTAATGAGTTGAGTAATAATTTTAATACATGTTTATTCTATATTTGTGAGAGTCATTTTTTACCTTTTTGAAAAATCATAGCCTGATACTACTGTAGCATTTCTGTCCTGTACTCACATCATACCTGGGAATTGATTTTCCAGGACACACAAAGCAATGTACAAAGATTCCAAACTCAATGAGTGAACGTTATTGTACTAATTTCTACTGTGTTTCTTCAGAGAGAGTTTATAATATAAAACTAGATTTCAATAATGAAAATGCTCTAATAAGTAACTTTTATTTTTTTCTTCCAGGCTTAAGCACATAAAGCAGTCATTGTGGAGAAAATAACATTTTGAGAAATTTTTCTGTTGCAATTGATAGAGAAAAAACTGATAGCGAAGTGCATCCCCTTGTGTGTTATCTCGTTTTCCTGCTTCGTGTATAACTCAGCTTAGTAATGAAGCCATCAGCATGTCCTCACTCAGTGAAGTAAATGTTGATATCAAAGATTTCCTAATGAGCATTAATTTGGAGCAGTACCTCTTACATTTCCGTGAGTTTGGTTTTAATACTGTGAAGGACTGTGCAGCCATAAATGACAGCGTGCTGCACAAAATTGGAATATCACCTACAGGACACCGTAGGAGAATACTTAAACAATTACAGATAATCTTGTCGAAAATGCAAGATATCCCAATATATGCAAATGTTCATAAAGTGAAGAAAAACGATGACACGTCAAAGGATGGCCATGCTCTCTCTTCTAATCAGAGTACAAAACTTTCAGGTTCTGGTAGTATGCAGACCCTTAGCCCAACACAGTTGGAGACTGTTACAAAAAATCTTAATCAGAACAACCTTAGTGTGGAAAATAGCCAGTCTCTTGAATCAGATGATAAGCTGTCTCTTCCTAAACATGACTTTCTTGTTCCAGAAGAAGAACCACAACTGAATTTGGATTCTTTTCATGATTCTTTATTTGGTAGTGAAAATATTAAAATAGAATCTTTGATTACAAAGAAGAATATGGATTGTACAATTGGAGAACCACAAACAGGAAAAGTTGTTTTGATCTCGGAAAATATCAGCAAGCTTCCTAATGCAGACCCTGAGTGTCTTTCTTCCATTGGCTGTTCAACAGCAGAAGCAAATTCTGGAAATGGAACTAATGGTTTATTAGAAAAATCACCACCATCCCCATTCTTTAAATTTCAAGGAGAAATGGTTTTAAATGATTTGTATGTGCCATCATCACCAGTCCTAGCACCTATGAGAAGTCGTAGCAAATTGGTTTCAAGACCATCTCGATCGTTTCTGCTAAGACATCGGCCTGTACCAGAGATTCCAGGGCCAACAAAAGGAATTTCAGGGAGGTAAGAATTTTTATGATAGGCTGTAAGTATTCAACTTTGGCATATTTCTCTATTCAACAAACCTTTTGTTTTCTTTTAAAACTTTTTCTTTATGCCATTTGTCATATACGTTATTTCCTGGAGCCTATTTTCAGCTTCAAAAGCCTGGGACTCTTTAGGTTTCCCATATTTAATTGCGGGAGCATCCCTTCCCTAATTCTATCTGGATATTCCTTCCCATATCTTCCCTCCGCACCTGGTATTGTTGTCTTTCCGTTAGTGCAGTTCCTATATTTGAATTGCTGGCTCTATCTCCCCACTAGATTATTTGTTCTTTGGTGGGGAACATGTTTTTAATGTGTCTCTACTGCCTGGCACAATGCTTGGCACAGATTAATAATTCAGCACCTCTCTTGAGCTTGGTAGTAGTTACTGTGCTAGGTGGGAAGGATGTAAAGAGGAATAAAAGGGCTTGCAGTCTAGTGTAGAAGACAGTTGTGAAAGATGGTAACAGTACCGTATTCAGCCAGGCCCACTAAAGAAGGGAACTCTGGAACCCCAAAGAGGGACCCCCGCCTGGGTAGGTCATTGGTGTCCTGAGATAACTGAGTGGTTTGAAAAGAACTGATTTACAGCAGAGATAGCTTTTATCTGTTTCTCAGAATTACACATAAAGTAGTTGTGGTTTTCTCCAGGGTTGGAGTGGGATATTTTTCAAACAAAAGCTAACACTTGTCTCTGCTGAGTGGAGGAATGAGGCTGTTCAAGTTTGACTATTACTGCAGTGGCACTAAACACCTTAACAGACTTTCTGCTTCAGGCATTTCTGCAAGATTCTCCTTCCCCCCTTGAATCTGTGGCTGCTCCTGATTCTCTCGCCCTTAAGAACCTTTGGTAATTGCTGTCAGTGCAAGTTGTATTTGCAAGAGAAAAGGTAGCAGTTCAGTATTTGTAAGAGAAAACATGGCAATTTACAAGACGTTGTTAAATATCTCCTATTAGAGTGTAAACTTTTTGAGGGCAACGGCCCTTTCTTGACATCCCTAGTGCCAATAGAGATGTCTGGTATTTACTTGGAAATCAATAGTAGTAGTGTTATTTATTAAACATTTAGGTGCTAGTTTGGTTTGTAATTTTCCATGGGTTATCTAATCTTCACAGTGGCCCTGCGAAGTAGATAATGTTCACTCCATTTCACTTAGGAGGTAACAGACTTAGGTTTATTTTCCTTGAATCCTATGAGTAGTGAACTGGGATTTCTTCCCAGTACATCTGACTGCAGAACCTACTTTCCTAATTAATATTTTTAGAAATATTGAATGTATATATAAAGATTGGATTATTTCTTGAGATTGTGGATTGTTGAATGCATATATAATAATTGGATTATTTCTTGGGATTATGAAATACATGACTTTTTTGTATGACGCTTTAGCTTTAAAAATTTTGCTAATTTTGAATAATTAAAGGAAAGTAAATGAAAAATTACCAGTCTTCAGATGTCAAAAGCTTTCAGTATCTGTGAAGGGTCTACTATGAGTACACATGTTAAAACAGCGTCTTTGCCAGAAAAGAATTTTTTTGGAAGCCATAAGGATAACTTCAGATAAAAACAAACAAACAAAAAACGAACAAACAAAAACAAAATAAACCAAACATTTGGTTTAAGTTTCAAACAGTATGTACTATTTTTCTTGGATTTTACAGATTTTTACTTTGATGCTCATTTAGTTGTACAGGGGCAGCAAAGTTCCCCTCCCTCCTCTTAGGGCCCCAGATGGGTCTGAGAATTAAACTGATGAAAGACAGATTAACAGGAGGGAAGCATACAAATTTATTTAATACAAGTAGTACAAGTTTTACGTAGCATGGGAACCCTTATAAAGGAGATGAAAATTCAGAAGCAGAGTCAAGCACTTGTACACTGAATCAGACCAAGAGCAGTACCTTGTGAAAAAGTAACAAAATTATTTGGGGAGGCTTAAAAGATTAAGAGTTATTTTAACAACCTATGTACAGAACTGTTTGGGTCTCCACTTCTAGTCCTTGAGGATAAGGATGTTACTCCTCTGACATGGGAATTTCATCACCTGCTTTTAAAACAACAGGAAGATCAGAGTGATCTTTTTGAATCTGCTATTTGCAACACTTGAATTAAGTGGCTTTCATTTAAAGTAGTCAGTATGTCAGAGTGGTATATTTTTAACTCCTTCAGTTGTAAATGTCAGCTTTGTATCCTATGAAAAGCTTGTTTTTCACATTGTGACTATGACTCTTTGAAAATGAGAACTGAAATAACATTAAAATGAGTAGCAATTTAGTGCTAGCTATACTGTAACACTGTTTCAATGTTATTTTTAGGCCAGATTACTCATCATAACCTTCTTTTCTTTGATTGTGGTGGTAAATGGGACTATGCTTTTGTGGCGCTCAGATCATAAAATGAACAAATAAATTAAAATATTTTCTGACTTCACTGTCTGTTTTTCCTTGTGGTCCTCCTCTGTGATGCAGACAGTAATTGCAAGATTTTAATATGTTATGACTTTTAAAATAAAACTATGGGTTATATAATCTTAGTTTCTCTTTAGTCAAATAACATCTACACATTGTATTTAGTGCATTCCTTGATGTACTGAATAAAAATATTTCTTTGTGGCCAATGCTTTTGACATAATTACCAATTAAACATTTAATACAACTATTAAAAGGACTTCTATGCTGGAAGTGTTTTCCTGATGTAGGGCTCTTTGTTTTCTCTCTTCCTGGTCAGGTATCCTCCCTGCTTCATCATATCTGACATAGTTGACCTCCAGTCAAAGGGATTGTCTTTGTTTTTGCCTTGGGTTCTTCCCTGAATTCTTACCTACATTTTTTCTACGGAGGGCTGGGCTGGGTGGGGCTACTCTGGACAGTGGACCTCAGGATATTTCCTATCTCTTGAGGGCCAGATCAGAACTAGGCTGGAAGCCCCACCTCCTTCCTTGTAACCTTCACCTGGGAACCCTCCAAGCAGAAAACAAGTCCAACCAGCATCTTGTCATTTCCATGGGACTTACAGGAGTGGCCTGTGATCCTTCTCTGGGGAGTCCTATTAGTGCTGGAGGCAGGGAGGAACAGGTATCTTACAGCTCCTGAAGAGGTACCTTTTTTCTCCTCCCAGTTTAATGATTTTTATACATCTTTCAGGCAACTACTTTATCCTTGGCACAAGTTGCAAAGCCCTTTAGTTTTAGTTTTAGTTTTAGGTGTCATGCCTAGGATGTTTTGGGGGAAGGGAAAATAAGGAGGCAGAAGTAATGGGAACGGGGTGATCGCAAAGCTGCAGTGTAATGGAGAACAGTCATCCTCCCTTAACCGTTGGGGTTAAGTTCCAAGGCCCCCAGTAGATGCCTGAAACTGAGGATAGTACCCAGCCCTGCACATACTGTTTTTTTCTACACATATATACCTATGATAAAATTTATAGACTAGGGACATTAACAATAATAACTACTAATAAAACAATTGTAACAATATATTGTAACAAAAGTTCTGTGAATGTGGTCTCTTAAAATATCTTCTTATACTGTACTCATCCTTTTTGTGATGGGGAAGGGACGAAGTGGGATGGTGGGAGATTTCATCACACTGTTTAGAACAGCACATAATTAAAAACTTATGAGTTGTTAATTTCCCAATTTTCCATTCAGTATTTTTGGACCCTAGTGACTGTCGGTAACTGAAACCAAGGAAAGTGAAACTGTAGATAAAGGGGACTACTGAACATTTGTTTTAAAACTGATGTACTATATTTGCTGTTTGAGAGTGTTTATAAAGTTTGAAAACTAAACCTGAAGTCTCTGGCTGGCTTTGAAGTTTTTATTAAAAATAGAAGTCTTAGATTTTTTTTCTCTAGATGTACTTAGACATTAGAAAGGGATAGCACTATTTCACAGACTTAAAAAAAACATTCATTTGTAAGTATTTGTGGTGTACAGTGTGGTTTCAATACATGCTATTTTTATAAACTTTAATGTTGGAAATACATATGAGCAAAAAGTGTACAGAATAATAAGCAATGGTTTGCTGCACTGAATAAGAAAAATACAGAACCTCATCTCATCTTATTCATGTTCAAGAAAAACTGTGGGGAACACAGTTCCATCCATAACATAGTTTTTCTTTACTTGCACAGAAATTTATTAATTCTCTAAGGAATAGGACTTGGGTATTTTCAAAGGCTTTACTAACACATTACATTCCATGGGCAAAGGCTGTTTATAGTAGGTTAGCTCATCTGAACATCTGAAGATTTTCTCTATTTTCAGAAAAGAAGTTTGATTCAGGTTTTAAAAATAATGAAACTAGAATGGGGAAATACTAACAAAACATTTATGAAGTTAATGTGACTCAGAATTACTAAAGTTTTTATTATTTTGGTTTTATTTTTTATGTTTTATTATTATTTGTGTTTTTAAACCATATTTGTATTTGAGCATAAGTTTTAATTTGTAAAGAGTAAGCTTTATATTTTATGTATTTAAATATATATATATATAAACATATTTTAGTATTTCTTTTCTGAAATGTGCAAGCAAATTGAGCACTGTCTATGCATACATACTTAATGTTCCAAGCTTATTTGCATATTGGACAATTTCTGAGCCTATCAGCAATGACATGTACTCTGATATATTCACGGTGCTTGGAACATTTCTTCAAGTGTTAGCTTGTTGGACCGTGCTTTGTATAAAGCATTATGGTGAATGTGTAAGGGATGTGATACAAAGATAAAAATTAGGTTACAACTCAGGGAATTTATCGGGAAGAAGAGGCAACTTCTCAGTTTCTGGAGTTAAGCCAGTTAATCTGGCTTCCTGGGTAGGGACTGTAGTATAAGTCCTCTTTAACAAATAGATTGAAACCACGACAAATATTTTGACATAATTACTTGTAATTTGAAAAACTCAAACACACAAAAAAGTATGTAAAGTAACAGTAGTGAACATATAATACCATCTAGATTTAAAAAGCATTAG